AAAAGTGGCAAACTGGGATCATGATCTAAAACTTTGTCCCAGGCTCATGAGTGAGACTAAGTCCAATTGTGGTTTGGTTTGGTTTGGTTTAATTTTTTTATCGGATTTTTAACTAGATTAATGTCTAAGTTGTGTTTGATCTACTATAGAACAACAAAAATAAATAGATAGAAAGATAGATAAATAAATAATTAAATAAAGATGAACGCAAATATTTAATTCTCGGAACCCGCTGACCCACGAGATAAACGCTAAAACAACAAAACAAAATAAATAATAATAAATAAATAAACAATTCAATGTTAAAAGGATAAGCACAAATATGGGTTAAAGCCAACTGTCATCCTTCTATTATTTTAAAAAGTTCAATTTAATCTTTCTACTATGAAATCGCCTCATGTCCTCCTCTACTTTATTTCGGTTTGACATGTCCTCCCTTTGCCATTCAAAAAGTGCTCAATGTCGTCCCTCCGTATATCTCATGGCTAACGGAGTGTTTTTGACCGTTAAAAGCAAGACGGTCAGACGTTTGCAAATTTTTTTCTTACAACCTGGTGTTGTGGGACTCATATTTTCCAATACCTTTTCCACGAGCTTTTTGCACCTTCACCATAAGAGAAATTTTGCAAACAGTCTATCCCACTCCCACTAATAGTTCAGATGAGTTAGTAACGCGTCGTAAAAATTTTAGTTTTCATTGAGATTTAAACCTTTTTAAGGAGAAATGTAATATTTTTCATTTTTTAAAAAATTTTTTTTTTCCCTTATTCCAAAGAAAAAGGTACAGATTGTCCCACTCAACACTACAAACAGGAAATTTGCTCCACACAAAATAATAATTTCCACGCCTACACCCCTTCAACTAGTGCAATATAGATAGTAAGATGGATAAATAAAAGAAAAATAATTTACAATTACTCGAGTCTTTGTAAAAAAAGTACTACTTTTTTAGATGAAAGAATGAAACAATATATATATGAGTTAGAAATATAAGTTGTATATATTTTATTTATATAAAATTTTGATAATTTATTTTTTATTTTTAATGATTAAAATTTATTTATATTTATTAAAAATAATTATTTTTTATATAAAAAATATAATAAATATTAACTGTTAAAAATAAAAAA